ATTTCGTATGATGTAGATATGATGCGAGAAATGAAACATTTTCCCCCCTTGAACTACATTGGAACTGTCAATTTGGCTTTCTGATAATTAAAGAGAAATACTGAATCCATATATCTAATCGGTATGTATGTGATAGACTTAAAAACTGTTATTTACATTTTTAGTGATGTGAATTACTTCTACAAAAATCATAACACAGCTGACAACTAATCCTGATCTCTAGCCAATGATTGAATTCAGCTTTGCTGGAGAGTGGACATCAGGTAAGGATAGAATTGAGCTCAGCCATGCTACCCTCGCGTTGGTCAAATAATCTGCCGATTCTCGCTGTCTGGGTCACAAATGAAGAATGATCATTTGGTTGAGGGGTTGCAAAGGATTTGATGCCATGAACCATGCCCCTCATGACTCAACCCTTTCAGGAAAGGGGAACAAAATCAACAATACAATTCTTAAATTTGAAATAGTGCCTTATCACATCTTCAACACAGTTGCCAATTGCGCATAGCAGTGTTCCACAAATAGTTTTGGATTGAGTGACCAAATTATTATTTATATTATTTATTTTATTATTATTATTATAATACCCCGGTTTGTAACTGATTTCTTAAGCGAGGAATCTGGAAGTGAGTGCGTGACTCCGAGTCGCAGGAATTTACTGACACCGATTAATCAGGCTCTGACACCGATTAATCGGATCGACATAATTGTGGTGACTGACCGTGCGGTTCCCCCTCCTCCCGCCCATGTAATTAATTAAGAAATCACTTAAGACTTGGTGCAATATCAGCCCAGCCTGTTTGGGGGCTATTTGCAGTGTTGCTGTCGAGCGCGGAAAGTTGCGGGAACGGCTGTATAGAATGACGCGTTACTCAGGAGTGGGGAGCGATAGTACCACAGAACCTTACATTTACCATGTGTGTTCAGCAGCAAATGAAATTAATGAAAATCATTGTGTGTCAGCAATTGCAGCTGAATGCTTCACACCCTTTGAGATGCTGGGATGTGCGCTCATCTTGTGGTAAGGCTGATTCACAGCCATATCACTGTGAGAAAATGCCAAGGAGAGAACAGAAACTCCCATTACCATGGTCAGTCACTCAGAGACACACTCACACACCTTCCTCAATATTAGAGAGCCCCAGCAAATGCCCTGGCTATGCTCAGAGTAAGCCTTTGAGGCTCGGCACATGGAAAAAATAAGATGATACAATACATTTACAAATTTACATTCATAATAGCGCCTTTCACGTCAAGAGGACACCCAAGGTGCCTAACAATAATAAAAAAGCAACTGCTAAAAACATAAAAAGCAACACTTGCTTCTAAAAATAATAAATATGAATATGTGGGAGATTTCTATTAGGTCTGAAAGGTCTTGATCCTGAAAGGTCTCTTTCCCTCCCTTTCTGCTGAAGGTGGTGACTCATGTGGAGTATCCACCTTGGGAGGAAAGTAACTGGGGTCTCCATGGGCTGAGCTAACTCCAAGATGATGTGCTTGGGCTTGGCCACAGAATGTTGCAATTAAATCGCCCTTCTCTAGCAGTCTGGTTTCTGAGTCAGGCAGTCTGCAGTAATCCAGGACACTGCTGATGGCAGACAAGCCAGCCTGAATCATAGGTCAGACCTGGAGAGCAGACCAGTCACTTGGAGGAGGGATTCTCCCCAAACAGCTCCTGCTAACTTTGCAAGCAAAAGTCCGAACAGGCATGGTGGTCCTAGCTGCCTAAGCAATTAAAAGCTTGATGCTCAATGGCAAGCTATGTGGTTTTAGCTGGTTAAACTGCAGCAGTACCCAGATGCACATCCAGGAGTCTCCAAGCCCTGGCTCCTGCTAACCTGCGCCTAATATTCTCTGGAATGAGATAGGCAGTACTCCAGGGAGAGAGTATCCACTCCATTTCAGATCTGAGGAAATGTCCATTGTAAGTGACTTACATATATGGAATTCACAGTCTGGTCTGGATACTTTTAAGCATTGTATCAGTTTCTGCTAATGTTAGACAATTTTCCCCAAAAGAGGAACAGTTTCATTGGTACCAATCACCCTCTCACTCAACTCACAATTCTTCATGGTTGGGTTTAAATGCAGGACAACACCATATTACTCTTTCCTGAGTCCTGCAAACTCCTGCTCGCTGGAAGCACAGTGTACCCAGCTTTTGGCACTAGCTACTTGGCATCATATCTAAAACAATTGCCAACTTCCAGGTTTTTGTTTGCCAGGACAAAAGTGCCAGAACATTTGTGGTGATATTACACACAAATGCTGGACTGACGCACGTCGATGTAATTGGGTTATAATATATAATAATAATCCTTGCATTTGATATAGCACCTTATCACTTCTTCGAGACATCTCAAAGTGCTTCAGAGTATACCGTAAAGTGAATTGACTGCTATTTTGTGGGCGGAATTTTGTGGGTTGAATAATAGGAAATAGTGGGGAGGGTGAAGATTTCCTGGACACTTTTTGATAAGAGGGAGGCATTGTCCCTTTAAGAACATCCACAGACAGAGTATGTTATAAACCTATGCAAACCCACAGTTTCTCCGCCTCACAACTCCGGCAAGTTTTGATTTATGTTTGCCTCTGATTTCTCATTCTAATTGGTGTGGTAGCTCTTCCCTCAGCAGTCGTAGTTGCATGTCTTTATGCTAAGAGCGAAAAGCACTCTTTGTTTGTTTACTGTGCTGCTCAGGTTTATATTTTACATTTGCCTTCCCAATCCCAAAGTGCCCTTTAGTTTCTTCTCCACGTTGCCAGCTGCGTTAAGCCTTTCATCTCGGGGGAAAAAAAAATAGCTTTGGGAGAATAATCCCTTAAGAATGGCTTCCACTCTCCGCTCTGCCATTATTATCAGTCCGTGTGCATATCAATAGGGGCGCATCTGAGGAGGTGGGGGGGATGGGCAGGAGGCAAAAGCCAGAACTTTGGGAGGGGTGGCTTTTGTGCTGTAGTTTGGATCAGCTGCAGCGCTGCGGCCGCAGAAGCATTTCACCATTTTGCATTCCTCTGTCTGTGATGTCTGTCTGTACCTGGTCGACTGCGTGAAGCATCTCAGCCCAGAGCACAGAGCCCCCAACCCCTCCCTCCCCCACCCCAACCCCCACCTTCAGTGGCTGTGATTTCTTACCCTGAAATAATAAAAGAAGTGAAGCGCTTCGGGACGTCCTCCCGACGTGAAAAGCGCTATATCAAACGCAAGGATTATTATTCGTATTATTATTATTATTATTATTATTATGAAGTTTGCCCAATTTGGGCCGCACTCCTGATTCATTCTGAACTCCCGGCTGTGCAGGTCGTGGTTCATTTCCAACACACCCTTATCCCCCCCCCCCAAAAAAAAAACGTTCGGAAAAATGCACTTAAAACTGCTGATTTTAATATCTTTTCGTGTCTCGGCGTCAAACAGCCCCGACCTGAGGGTGAAGGCAACACTGAACCGCCGGAGCTTTCGGCCCCTCCTCAAGTTCTCGCTGTGTGTGTGTGTGTGTGTGTGTGTGTGTGTGTGTGTCGTCGGTGGACCGTCTGCTTCGGATTCTGTGGCGATAACGACGCGCATTTCACCTCTCAACGTATAACTGGATTGATTCGTGAAAATGTTTCCTCCGGAGGGAATTGCGAGCCCATCCCCCAGCGGCAGCCACATTAGCAGTTTATTTTCCACAAGAGGGAGGGAGGGAGAGGGAGGAGGGGAGGGACAGACAGACAGACAGACTCTGCCACTCTGGCGGCTGGAGTTGTAGAGAGGCTCTTGAATCTTTCTTCATGTCTCTCTCTCTCTCTCCCTCTCCCCCTGAGCGCTAAGCTGCGCTCTTGCTCGCAGTGAAGTGCAGTGCTGCAGCCACTCTCAACACCCTCCCTCCCTCCCTCCCTCTCTCCCCCTCCCTCCCTCTCTCTCTCCCCCTCCCTCCCTCCCTCTCTCTCTCTCCCCTCCCTCCCTCTCTCTCCCCCTCTCTCCCTCCTCTCTCCCTCCCTCCTCCTCTCTCTCCCTCCCTCTCTCTCCCTCCTCCCTCCCTCTCTCTCCCTCCCTCCCTCCCTGCTGTTAGCGCTCCACACTCACGTCTGCGAGCTCCAAGTCAACAAGGAGTGGAGTGTGTGTGGGTGTGTGTGGGTGTGTGGGGGGGTATTAGCATTAAAAACCCCCTCCGAATCGTCCTTCGCTCGGTACAGTTTGCCTCAGTCTGTGACTGCGATCGTTCTCAGTTTGAGACCTAACAGCCCCCCCCCCCCCCCCCTCTCTTGTGGTGTTATTCGGGCTGTTAACTCTCTCCTTTTCCTGACCAAATAAATGCAAAACTGGGAGGAGGAGGAGGAGGAAGAGGAGGGCAGAATGTTTCAGACCCCCCCCCCATCACCACCCCCTCATCGTGTGTTTTATTTTTTCCCCCAAATAAAAGTCCTACTGATTTACTGAAAAAAAATCCAACTTCGCCCCTCCCCTTCTGAAGTGTTGCAGACAATGTATCTGAGTTGACGGAGTCGCGCTTCTTTTTAAACAAAACCGATCTGCAGGTTACATACTTAAGAGAAAGATTCCTCCCTTTAATTATTTTCTCCAGTTCCCCCCCTCCTCTATCTCTCTCTCTCTGAGGTCTCAACTGACTGGATGAACAGCTTTGCCCCTCCTCCCTCTCCCTCCCTCCCTCCCTCCCTCCCAGCGCTTTATGTGGCTGGAGTATGACTTTTTTTTTCTGAATGTAGTGAAAGCTGAATGGCATTGGTGAGCAGCCCCCGGAGCTCTGGCTGAGGAGCAGAGGACTGGCTGTCAGCAGTGAGCCCTGCAGTCTGCAGAGCGCCGTCTTGTTGGTGGTTTGTCAGCGATAGCTGGAGACCAGCTTCACTGCCATGTGTGGGAAAAGCTGCTTTTGGCATGAATGCAGGGCTGTACCATGTCTCACACCCTGAGGGGGAGGAAAGGATCAGTCCAGACCAGACAATAGGCCTCAAAGTGTCCCCCCCCCCCGTCCCCCCCCCCCTCTCCAAGTTGCTTTGATGTTGTCCTGGTGTCTTGATGCTCAGGGGTCCAGAGATTGCAGGAAAGTCTTTGTGTTCACTTTTCTCAGCAGCAACGAACCCGAAGTAATCGTCACACAACACAAGGTAAGTCTCTCTCGATTCTGCATTCTGCAGCAGTGCTGTGTGCAGGGGGTTGTGTGCCCCCCCCTGCCCCCTGCCCCCTGCCCCCCCCTGGCCGGCTGGGCTTGGAGGGTTGGCTGCTGGGTTTGCGGTGCCGGAGGCTCACCGTGAAACAACGTTATTCCTGCAGTCAGTATCGTTCGCTGAACATCTCCAGGGTGTCCGAGCCGGGGCGGCATCTTCAACTGTGGAGCTCTGCAAATGATGTTGCAAAGTCTTGCTGGTGAATTTGCTGCAACACAATGGCCCCATCGCAGGCCTCCTAATAGTGTACATTTCTTTCAGTGAAGGGTGCTCTCTCTCTCTCTCTCTCTCTTTTTTGGACTGCTTGAGTGGTTGCAGTGATTGCATTGCATGAGAGTCAGGCGCGGGTAATGCATGAGCACAGGTAATCCAAGCGCGTGTTTGTGTTTTCTTCCCACCACCCACCGAGCAAATATTGTCAAGTTTTGTTTCCAGTGAGTGCGACCCGACCCCAAATAGATCTTCCTTCGTTCTAAATGGAAAAGTTTTTTTTTTATTTTCCATTTTTAATTTGCAGTTCAGTCATTCTGAAAGCAAAGTGGAGGGGTGGGGGTGGTGGGGGGGGGGGGGGGGGAACATTGCATTGTGCAATGAGTTCTGCAGCAGCTTTACAAAAGCGCCAAGTATATTTGTTTTGCTGTTTCACACACAAAAAAAAATGGGTGTTGATGTTGCTTACGGTTACATTTTTTTAAAAACAACGATTTGCCCGTTTCCTGCTTTGCGTTGTGTAATTTGACATCCACTGCCCAGCTAAGGCCGCTTGAATTTGATTTTCCTTGGTAGGTTTTTGCATTGGATTTCCCAGGTCTGTGTCTTTGTAACTGTTCCTGTGTGCTAGACTTTAACCCTGCTTTATATTTGAGTGGTGAAACAGGTTTAGACCAGCTGAATTCGACTGATCACTGTTTGCTTTCATTCCTAATAAAGAGTTTGATTCAAGTCTGGACCAGATAGGAAGCGATTTCTGCATAGTAATTTGCAACCAAACACATTTAAAGTTGGGAACCGCTCGTTCTCATAAAATAAATGCCTGTAATCAAATTAGAAAGAATGATTCCTAGGGTTAATTTTATTTATTACTGTGGGGAATAGTTGTATATCTGGCGCCTGTACTTCTGCCATTACCACAAAAAGGATCTCTGTCACAAACTTCCTGGAAAATGGTATGGGGATGTCAATTATGGACCAAATTTTTTTTTTAAATTGCATCGGTTTGTGGTATGAGTTATTTACCAACATATGTTTACTCATTAACCAATATCATAATACTGTTGAACCACATCATCAAATGACAGCGAGTAGTTACAGATCAAAGTTGACAATATAGTTTTCAAGCAGTCTTACTCTCTTTCTCTTATCTAGTCACAGTGCCGAACAGAGATTGGATTCACATTGAAATCTGACCACCATTTCCATAGCCACACCAGGAGTTCTAAATTGGCACCTTGAGGACGGGTCTTGCACCGTTGTCAATTTGGTCGCACGTGAATATATGTTGCCAGACTAAATTGCCAGAAGATTCATAAATCCATAGCTACCAGCATTCTCTCCTGATCCAGTGATCTGATTCATTCCTCCTCCATCGCTTTCCATTTGCACCCAGTGCTCATCTCCTCATTGACTCCCGCTGTTGCTTTGAATGAATCAGATTTTTTTGTATTTATGCAGCTAAAATACATACCTGTGTTGGTATGTATTTGTGGTAAGGGGCACCAAAGAAATTTTGCACTTTCAATCAAAGGAAAGTGGACACATTCTGCTCAGTTTGCTAAATGTAGCGAATTTGTCCATGCGTACTCATAAATATTTGTAACTACAATATAAATAACCTTTAATTATGAATCAATATTATTTGAAATTATAAACAGCAAAAAAACAATTAAGCTTATTCAGAAGCTTCCACCAACCAATTCACAACATTGGACAACCAGAGCACAACAGCCCCATAGTGTACATGATGTGTTCAGGACACACAACATAAATTAGAAGTAATTTTTCCAGCTTTCTTGATTGCTTAGTGGGTAAATGTGAGTGAATGGATTTCCTCACATGGTATTTAATCTTGAAGAGCAGTGAGGTTTCCAATTTGAGTTCACTGCCCCATATCCTCACCCTCCATCACCCCAGGTTCCACTGGCTCCCTATTACAGAATGGATTGATTTAAAGGTCCTGACACTTGTGTACAAATCACTTTTTTGCCCTGGCATCACTCTACTTCTCTGACTGCTTACATCCCACTCCACTACCCGTTGCCTTCGCTCAACTGGCTCCAGCCTCCTGCACATCCCTCGTATCCTCTGCTCCACAATCAGCAGCCATACTTTCAGCCACTACACCCCAAAACTGTGGAACTCTCTTCCTCAAGCCTTGCCTCCTCCTCCCCTTTAGCTTACCCTTCTTTGACTGTGCCTATGGTCACCTCCCACCTCTCTTTGGCTCGGCATGAAGCTCCACCACTGTGTAGCGCTCAGAGACGCTACCCCATGTGAAGGGTACTATATAAATGCAAATTGTTATTTTTGAGATAGTTGTTGAGTAAGTTGATCTCAGTAGAGGCTTGAAACTGTAGTGAGTCGGGGTAGTACAGTAGGTTCCCAATATTGCTTTGTTATTGGAGGGGGATAACTAGCTGGGGTGGATGTTAATGATCAGAATTGAAAGAGTCCTAATGGAAGTGTGTGTACACATTAAGTGAGCGCATGGATGGGCTCAGTTATGAGGCCCTGTTCCCTATGTATAAAATTAGTTCCAACTTTATAAACTTCATGAGGAGAATGACCACTTTGGAGAGGTAACTGGGTGCTGGTCTCAAATGAAACCTCTGACTTAAGGAACAGTGGAGAGAATCTAGCAAATCCTATCTATGTCAGAAACCATCCTGCTGGAACTCTGCTGTAACACCAATCTCACTTTTGACTTTTCCATATTTTAATAATAATAATGCTTCAGGGATTTTTCGAACTCAGCTCCGGTTAACTGTACAAGTCAAAGTCACAGTGGAGTCCTGTAGCTCAGTGGTTAGAGCACTCGCTTTGCAAGCGAGAGACCTGAGTTCAATTCCAGGCAGGGTGAAACCTTGGGCAAGTTTCCTTACTCCACATGCCTAATAATAATCCCTCCAAAACCAAAAACAATAATAAATTGGTCATTTTCAATCTACGACTGTTTGTGGGACATTGCCGTGCGCAATTGGCTGCCGCGTTCGCCCACAAATATACAGTCAATTCACTTTACAGTGTGTTCTGTGAAGCGCTTTGGGATGTCCTCCCGACGTGAAAAGCGCTATATCAAATGCAAGGATTATTATTATTATTATTAAAGCCCTAATGGGTAGGGTGGTCCTAGCTGGAGAAGCAGCAGGAACAGTGACAAGTATGTGGTTTTGGCTGGTTAAACTCCAGCAGTGCTCCAATACACACTCTGGGTTCTCCATTTTTTGGCTCCTGTCATCCTTCAACTAATATTTTCTGGAATTAGGTAAGCGGGATGTGTCCCTCCAGAGAGAGAGAAAGAGTGTGCATTTCATTCCAGTATACAGGAATTTTCATGTGGAGGTGGGATGCATGGAACTCTGTTTGGTATTAATACACTTAAAGCACATTGATGGGTTTCCGAATATGTCAGACACCTGGCTGACCAAAAAAATGCTTGTTTTTGATATTGCACCTCATCAATGTGTCAGCCTGGCGCAATGGAAGCACCCTCTTTGAATCAGAAGGTTGTGGGCTCATGTCCCAAGTCAGGACTTGGAATCACTTAGCCTAAACTGACACTCCAATGCATTGCTGGAGGTGCTGTCCTTCAGATGAGATGTTAAAGCAAGTTCCTGTCTGCTGTTCACGTGAACATTAAAGATCCCATGGCACTACTATAGAAGAGAAGGGAGTTAATTCTGGGCTCCTGCCAACAATCTCCCAAATAAAATAAGTCACTCACTTCATGGCCTTTTGTCGGATGTTGCTGTGCGCAAACTGGCTGCCATGTTTTGCCCACAAAATACAGTCACTTCACTTTACAGTATGTCCTGTGAAGCGCTTTGAGACATCTCGACAATTTGAAAGGTGCTATATCAAATGCAAGGATTATTACTAATATCATCATCACATCATCGGAACTGTGAAGTGCTTAACAGATTTTATTGTAAAACTGTATTTGTTGGTGAACATGGTAGCCATTTTGCACTAAGCAATGTTCCAGAAGCAACCATGAAGTGACTATCCAATTTTATCTGAACGATTGGTTTCTAGGACTTCAGGAAAAGAATCTCTTCTCTTTTTGATTAATGTCACGATATCTTTGAAGTCCACCTCAGTAGGCAGATAGGACCTTAGGTTAATGTCATTGCAAAGGACAGCACCTCTGACAATGCAGCTCTCCCCTGGCATTGCGCTGGAGTATCAGCCAAGAATGTGAGCTCAAACTGCTGCTGGAGGGTGTGACAAGTCCAGTGTCAGAAAGAGTTCCAGTGGGTACATGCAGGAATTGCTAGTTACAAATCAGTTTGCAAATCTTGCAAATTGGACCCCTTTGTCAGTAAATTACCTGACCTTTGGCATTGGGTACTTTATAATTTCCCATTATATAATACCACAAGTGAACAGGAGGAGTAATAGCATATCTGGTGTGAAAAGTTGAAACCACATACATGTGGTACTGCTTGCTCTTTGGAGGTTGAGAGTTAAAGATTATTATTGAGACAGAATAAAGAAACCTCTACTCGGTTCCCAATCTTGCTTTCAGCGACCTGGGAATCACAGAAAACTCCCCAGAAATTCTCCTGTACTAATCACTGACTTTGATCAGTACAATTCTCATCCCTAACAATTGAACAAAAATAATCAGGGCTCTGAAAAGAGTAAGACCTTAGGTCTGATTTTCATTTGTTGACAGTTCAAGTAGATATTTATGATTGCCAGTTTAGGATCCCTGCTATGCTTGATAGTGGGTGTTCGCGGGCACTGATTCCAATAGTTTGATTTTTTTTTAACCAGTGCAAACATTTAATTTTTGAAACAATAAGATATTTTCAGTAGTCTAAGCATCTTACAATTCTACCAAACTTGTTGAGGGTCTGCAAAAATGGGATTTAATTTGTGATATTTGTGAAACTGCTTGCTCAGCTGGGACCTCCTTACCTGTTAGGGCTTTGGTTTGCAGGGTTAACGGGAGTTGAGTTGGATGAACTTGGCTAAACCTCCTGTTCTTACCACAGCTGCCTTGTGTGTGGTGTGTGTGTGTGTAATACGGAGAGATAGTGACCTCCGTGCCATGTCTTTGGTGGCAGAGGCTGCTGTCTGCTGCTTCTATCCTCACTCACTGAGACACCAGCTTCACTGTATTAACCCGGAGTAGTGGTAGCACTCTTGCTTCTGAGACAGGAGGTTGTGGGTGCAAACCCCATGTCGGGACTTGGAATCACATAGCCTAAGTTGACACTCCAGTGCAGCACTGAGGGGAAAGAGTGCCACATTGTCAGAGACAACATCCTTTGTATGAGAAACCGAGACTTTCTGGAGTCCCGCAGCATAATGGTTAGCTTAATCACCTCGCAGATGGGAGGACTCGGGATTGATTCCTGGGCAGGGCGAAGAGGTAGGTTTTCAGGTGGGATTTAAAGATAACGAATTAGCAAGGTGGAGGGATTTAAGCAGGGAGTTCCAGAGATAAGAGGCATAGTGGCTGAGAGTGATCACGAATGACGACAAGGAGACATCGCGGATGCGCAATTAGCTGAGTGGAGTGGGTGGATAGGGGAGTGGGATATGAGCAGATCAGATAGTAGGAAGGTACTTGCGTGTGGAGGGATTTGTACGTGATTTTCTCATGACAAAAAGCTTCAGCAATTGAGTGCACAGGAAGGTTACATTTGCATTGAAATTCTGCTAAAACATGATATAAAACAGCAAATTAGTGCTCTGAAACAACAACACTTTTAGCATCGAGTTGGCATCAGTGCTTTTAAACCAGGGATTTTGGCATGTTCGTTTCAAGTGGTGTCTGGTGTGGAAAAATGAAACAAATTTCTGATTGAATATTAATAAGTATACAAAAATACAAATTTGCATTTATTTTCAAAGCACATTTTCAAGTATTGAAGGATGCTAATTTCGTGGAACCAACAGGTAGAAGATAATCCTTGTATACACATCAGGAGAACGTCTCAAAGCGCTTCATTGGATTTATTGTAAGGTTTAGCAAATGGATATTTTGTCTACAGCAAATTTGCACACAGCAACGTCCCACAAACAGCCATAAAGTAAATGACCAATTTTGTGTGAGGGAGTCTCAGCCAGGATTTTTTTTGCAAATAGTGCTATGAGATCTTTAATGTTCTCCAGATTTTTTTTAAATGCAAGCTGTAAAGCAGTGATCTTTCCTTACAACAACAACTTGCCGTTATATAGCTCCCTTAATGTCGAACAGCATCCTGGAGTGCTTCCTTAATTCATTAAAATAGAATATAATGGGAATACAAAGGTTGCTAAACAACTGATACTTGATAAACCTCAAGGATACCATCATATTGTGGATCATGTTATTGCACTCAATAATTGTTTTTGCTTTCTGCACAATTGTTGCAAAACGGCTGTTGGAATGTTTTGTTACATTGAGTTGATTGAAAATGTGAAATGATAGGGAAAATTGACACATTTTCTGGCATATACCTTGAACCATCAATATTTTGGTATTGAAATGTATCTTGTTGATTTTCTTAAAAAAATGTTGTGAAAATGGGTCCAGTTTCAACAACATTTTTTTTTATCCCTTGTATTTTCTCTCTTCCTCTTCTCTGTGCTGGCGCACAGATGACATTCGTGTCAGACACCTCAAAGTGGCCAATTTTTGTGTGAAACCATAGCCAGAATGTTGGAGGTTATTACATTATTGAGGATGTTCCAGTCCAGCCAATTGTGCCCTTGACCAATGTATAATAATAATAATCCTTGAATTTATATAGCGCCTTATTATGTTGTCGAGACCTCTCAAAGCGCTTCACAAAATATACTGTAAAGTGAATTCACTGTATAAAGTGAATTCTCTGTATGCTTGTGCACATATATACACACGCACTTCAACACAAACGTGAATAAAACTGGAATGTTGAATCCTTTACTGCATTCCACACGAATGGTGGTACTGAGTGAATTCAGTGCACTGATGTGTAACTTGCTTTGTGTGCTCTGTTCAAAATTAGTAGCAGAAGGTTGGAACATTTTCAGTGGATGAGAATTGCTTTGCACTACACAATGACAGAATCAAATCAATGTCATGTGCAAAGTTGCATACATCTCTGTAATCATCATACAACATCCGATCAAAAAAAATCTATCTCATCTAACTCCCCCACCCTTCCCACATCATTTATTTCCAACAATAAACAGAAGCCCTTTGATATTTTCTTTAAAATCTTTCATTTTGCCCAGTCAGTGCAGCATTATATTCGCAAAACAGAACACAGCTTCATGATATTTTCTTCTGATCTTTTATTTTGGATCACAAAAGTACTCTTGTCGAGAAAGAAATAGGCGATCACATGAAGTACTAGTATGCTCCTATTTTTGTAAAGCAAGCTAAACTTCTGGTTGGCCACTTAATTAGTACTATAACAGAACAATTATGCCAAAGAACTGTCCAGACCTAAGCAAGTTTCAGATGGATCTAATGGGTTTTCTTAAAGCCTAAAACTGCAGAATTTAACACTAAATCTGATTATTTAAAAAAATCTCAGAGAAGCAGTCAAAGAATGTCAAGAAAGAGACCTTTTTCTGGACACTCATGAAATGATTGTAATAGTCAAACTGAAAATCTGCTCCAGTTTATCCAGCTTGGGTAAGGGATTCCCTGGCCTAGGAAATAGAATATTTTTAAAATTTGAATATTTGCGGTTAAGCATAGCTAAGAGCAGATGCAGAGTCATATTCCTTCTGTTCCTCATTAATGATGTGCGTTAAACTAAACCTCAGAAAAGCAACCCCTTGTGCACTGCTGTCACTGTTTCCATTTTCCACCTCATGGCTTCTGATTGGGAAGGATGACATGTGGTGAATTGTGGGCAGATTGACTTTTTGACTTATGGTGGCTAAGAAATGATTTGAAATGGGATGAACCCAGCAGAGAGAAAGATAGAGGAAATGTTTGTTTCGGCTAAATTTTATTTGAGCTAAAATTGAACCAAATTTCTAGAAGTAATGGTATGGTATGATAACTCACTGAATCATCTAGTCTGCTAAATATTGAAATCTAATGGAATGAGCACTCCTGTTATCTTTGTGCCTAAATGTACCATCTAGTGTAATGCTGATGGTCAATATATGTTCTGTCCTGAGATAGTTGATCTCTGCAGAGGAGATGGTGGTTGCAGTACAAATGACTTAGGAATCCAGGATTATGAAGAGAAAAGTCGGGCTGAACCTCTTTGTGAGTGCAGGCCTGTGATGTCCTATTATAGTATGCACTGTGTGAGTGTCAGAATTGTGTTGGTTATGATCCCCTAATTGATGAATATTAAGTCAGTATTTAGTAGGTAGGGTCTATCAAATTTGCGATAGTCACAAATTGGATTTGTTGGATGAATCGTAACTGCTGGTTTGTGAATATCAGAAAGGCATTTGATTTGTTAGATTGATAAAGTGGCTAAAGAAAAATCCTGAAAGAGTTTGAGGAAAGTCCAAAGTAGAAAATAAGACCAGCAAGCAAAATCCAGCAAGAGTTGGAACTTTCTGGAGAAGCGAAAAAATTAGCAAAATAAACAGCACCTGGTAACTGTGCTAATAATGTCCCAAAACACACAGTATTATCCTGACCATTATGAACTTTATAAATTAGACTGACGTTCCAATGATATGCTGGTCGAGTGCTCTATTGTTGGAGGCAGCCTTCTTCAGATGAGACGATAAACTAAGGCCCCTTTGCCTATTTTGGTGGTTTAGGTTGATATTAAAGATCACATTGGTCAATTTCGAAGAACAGCAGAGTTCTCTGTGTGTCCTGGCCAAAGTCATCAATTGTCCAAACACCAAAGAAAAAAAATTGTGGGCATTGCTGTTTGTAGGATGTGGCGTGTATCAGAATTGTCTCCCTAACGGACACAATGTTGTGTGAAATGCTTTTTGAAAAATTGTAACATAGTAAGACGCTCTGGGTGTTTCATAACAGATTTGATCATTTTCAAACCTCATATGAAAGACATGTTTTACCTCAATATCAAATGAAAAGATGATGATTATTATTTCTATGTTTATTAACACAATATACTAGCGTTACTAAAGTACTATGACATTATTGCTACAACAACAACAAGATTACATTTAAACATAATAATTAATTCCAGGCAGTGCGAAACCTTAGGTAAGTTTCCTTACTCCACACGCCTAATAATAACCCCTCCAAAACAATAATAACTTGGTCATTTTCAATCCACGATTGTTTGTGAGACACTGCTGTGCGCAATTGGCTGCCACGTTTCACCCACAAATGTACGGTCAATTCACCTTACAGTCTATTCTGTGAAGTACTTTGAGATGTTGAGAAGTTGTGAAAAGCGCTACATCAAATGCAATGATTATTATTATAATAAATAATAATCATCCTTATATTTGATAAGTGCCTTTTTACATCATCGAGTCATCTCAAATTACTTCACAGAATATACTGCAAAGTGTAGCAACTGTATATTTTGTGGGTGAAATGCAGCAGCCAAAAGCGCACAGCAGTGTCCCACAAACAGTCGTGGATTGAGTGACCAACTTATTATTATTTTTGGAGGGATTATTACCCCCGGAAAGCGATCCGCCAATTGACTAACAAACGGGTTCCTACTTACTGTTAGGTAAACAGAGGCGTGTGCAGTAAGGAAATTTTCCTAAGATTTCTCACTGCAAGGAAATCAAATCCGGGTCCTCTCACCTGCGAGGCGAGGCGCTAACATGTTCTTAAGTGCTGCATTACCACATTAACATTATTTTTGGTAAAATATTGGTAATGTATTTTGGGGTCCATATTGGTGCAATATGAATTTTAGAATTGTATTGTTAGATTGGAGTCTGATTTGTGAGATTTGCAAAAGGATTTGTAAATAACAAAATTGGCAGTAATTTTTTAAAGAGTGAATTCGTAACAGCCTGAACGGAATGTACATTTTCCAGTGGGAAATTCCTTTCGCGTGGCAATTTCCCAATTAAATTATGCAACATTTGGATACCTTTATTGGAGTATGGCTGGTAGATACTTTTATTTTGAATTGTAACATTATGATAAAGTAAAACATTTATCATGTGCTATGATACAGGAATAGCAAAGAACTATTATGCTTTGGCAGTATAAGCAG